TGTTAGTTCCAGGTTTAATATGTGCAATAAGTTCATTTCAATACGTTCTGCAATAAACATTGAACCAGTCCGGCCCTCGACTAGTACCCATTTTTGAATTTTGGCCCACTGTGTATTTGAGTTTGAGACCCATGGTTTAAATACTCAAATATTTAAACTCTGTCTTTGCTCTTTTTGTGTGTTTTGTTCAATACAGCATTGATAAAGGCTTTAATCTCCCTTAGGAACGGGTTGTATGACAGCAAAGTAAAGCGGTACAAATCTTCAAAATATAGCACACACTTAACCTGATATCGCTTTTTTAGATGGGCCTTTTATTTGGGTGTCTAAAATACGTTTCGCTGTTATCCCGACTGCGTAATTAAGTTAGCTTCCTTCCAATAAATAACTGGGGGCTTTCAAAACAACATCTACTATAGATAAAACGCTAACTGTGGATAAGTACCTCATACAACCCCACTTAAAAAATCCCAAAACTATCCCTTTAAATCTGTCTCATAACTCCATGACAATCGCAAATAAGTCACCTTAGATATGAGGTTCTATTTCACTGTGAATATAATTGGGTTCCTTTTAAGTAGCTTTTGTTTTTAAATGATCCAAGTTCTCAACGATTATAATCAAGAAAAGAAAATCTGAAATAACTGATCCAGAAAAATCACACTGACATATTTTCTCCACATGGTGAAATGTAACATATGTGACCCGTCGTTATGAAAGCTGTTTCTTTCCTTGCAGCGAAAAGCCGCTTGACTTTACACCGTACAAAATGTCAGCCGGTGTGTTCACACACACGTGCAGACAATCATTTGACGGTGACACACTCAAAGGGCTTCTGTTGGCTTCCTGACAGACGAACAGCTCCTCTCCTCCGGGGAAACAGAGACGTGACATTTGAAGGTCAGTGAACCAACAGAGTGCTACGTTTTCACTGTTTTACATAATATTCTTCATCTTTTCTTCCACTTATTTATCTAGAAAGCCAAATCGAAAAATGATCTGGACAAAGAGAACCAATCTCAGAGTATACACATGAACTTTAGAGTTTTTTCTTCTCCTTTCCTGCAGCTCTAGTCCACCAGTCTGCTTCTTCTGGATGTTATGTGTGTGTGTGAATGGATGCAGGTATGTGTGTGTGTTTTTTTTAATTGTGTTTAGACATTCAGTACCCGGTAGCATTGGCATGTATGCTGAGTGTGGAGAAGGGTGGTTCTGATGCTGGAGCGGCGAAGCTGTAAGCGGCGTACGCCACGACGGAGCCCAACATCAAACCCGACATGTAGGAGACCGTCATGGTGTTTCCTGCAGAGAAACAGAGAAGGGAAGTGATAGACAAAGAGAATACATAACCTGCTTATCCGGAGAGAATACTACTTAAAATTCTAAGTTTTTCTCTTTCTTATAGTGCTATTTATCAGCAGTGGAAGAAGTACTCACTTAAAGGTGGGGTAGGTAAGAATGGAGAAAGCAGCTCGAGTGCGCTAGAATTTGAAAATACACAACCGGAAAAAATCTGCCCCTTTCTTCAGACTTCCTCACAGAGCCCCTCCTCCAACACACACAAACGCGCACATGACCAATGAGGGCACGAGATAAGTTTGTGCACAGATGGAAGGCTGACAGGCAGGTAGGCCATCCAGTTACTTTAGCCGGGCCGGCTCAGATGATTGGTCGTGCTTTTTACAGCGCTACGGCTTCCACAGATGACATTTTTTTATGTATTTATTGTCAAAGCATTTAATATATTCATTGCTATCGGGATGTTAAGAGCATTCCATGGAATATAACAACAAGTGTTTCTGAAGTGAATTACCTACCCCACCTTTAAGAATAACTGTATAGCGTAGAAACACTCAGTTAGTCAGGCATTCAAGTAGAGCACAATTACTTCTAAAATGTTCAGTACTTGAGGGAAAGTATTTTTCAACCACTGAATCTGTTTTGTTTCGGTGTGACTTACAGATTGTTGGAGATGTCTGCCTGCTCTCCAGGATAAGGGAACTAGATGGTGCTCAAAGCGCCAAAAACACATTTGTAAAACTCAACCGAAATGTCTCTATGACCCGGTTACTCAAGATAATCGACAGCCCTTGTTTCGAGCAGTTGAGTCAGGTAGCAACTATTTTCTATTTCTACTGAATTACACTATCCTATCACCGCGCAGAAGGAAGCGTACATCTACTCATGCTAGCATTCTTCTTTCTGCGCATCGATGCGGTTAAACAACAGTTTATTGTATTAACAATTAACGCATCGGTTTGGGATTCGATTCAAACATTCGAGGTGTACAGAAACTTCTTCTTTGTCTTTGTTCTTTGTCCAATCAAAATCTAAAAGCTACTCAGTTTGCATTGATACAAAGCAGAGCAGAGCGGCACATCCTAACATTTGAGAAGCTGGAACCAGTGTTGTATTTCTTGGATACATTAATGTAATCCATCTAGAGTTTGGTTATTTATTTCCTGTCCGGTTTTACACTTAAATTAGACTGAAAGAACTACACCTACCTTCTATCTATATTCGATTTCATATTGAATATTCCATGCCTCACATACTTATATATATAATAACTTGCTTTATATTTTGTTACTGTACATTTGTAATTCATCATGTATATTTTCTACTTTCATGTTTATTTCTAGTCTTTACATTTGTATTGTACAATGCCATGTCTTGTTATGCTGCTGCAACACCAACATTTCCCAAATTGGGATCAATAAAGTACTTCTTATCTTCTCTCTACAGAAAATGAATCCCCACTGAGGTAATGTCCCCTGTTACGGTCCTTTTGTACTGTCTTAAACCTTTCCTTAGGATATTTTATGAATTGTAAAGTGTCTTTTGAAAGGCGCCTCTAAATAGAATGAGTTATTATTATTATTATTATTAGTGACTCACCTGCCAGCTCTCTCTGTTCGGGCGGCACTTTCCCCGCGGCCTGGATCATCGGCACGGACCCGAAGTATCCGTTGGTGACTCCCATGAGGAGGGAGAAGATGCAGGGCCAGGCGGGGTGAGACAGGGTGGGGGCGCTGGCCGGGTAAACACACATGACGAAGAGGGGGATGAAGACCACCCTTAGACTGCAGAAGAAGAGCAGGCGGCCTCCGGACCAATCATAGGGCAGCGCTGCCAGGATCTGAGCAGAGAGAGAGAGAGAGGTGTGTTTTAGGGATGAGAGGTCTTATTCTTTTTGTTTGTATTTTACAAAAAAAGAATATACAAAAATGAAAAGTTCAACAAGAATATGACAAATTGCTCTGAAAAGAAATGTGTGAAGTATAGCAGAATTTGGTGGAAAAAAGTAGCATTGAACGAATGTGCAGAATAAATGTTAACAGGACAAGTTACACCTTTATTTTCCTCATTAGTGTCAGGACGTTGTTTTACTTTGCTTTTTCTTAATCTCAATACTTTTTTAAAGATTAGGTTAAATCAGCTATAATGTATAATTTAACATGAACAACTATGGAAGAGGATAAGGGCAACCTGGGACAATTTGTGGGTGATTTGACCAAAACAAAAACAAAAATCTGAGTTCTGAATTTTTTCGATGAGAGATTTTTGCTGAGATTTTCAAATAAAAAAATATTTAAAACACTTTTGGTTACATCCCGGAAAATGTCTCATGTGGCCCTAATCCTTTTCTGTACACAATGGACCTCCAGCAAACATTAAAATCAAACAGTCAAACACAAACCATTCCAACTAGATTTGATTTATAATAATTAAATATTAGTAAAGTAAAGTGAAGCTTAAATAATCCCTATCACGACACACAGTGTACTGACTAATGTAACAGTATTTGCACTCAATGTACCAAAGTGAAAATCTATAAAGAGTTCTTAAAAAGTGAACAGGACATCCTCCTCCTATCCCAAGAGGACATGTGTCTTTGAATACAAAATACACTTGATCAACAAGGACACAAGCATTCATCCTTTCTCACTATGACCTTGTCTTCATGTTTTCTTATATTCACATCGTACCTCTTGGGGGATTTCATTGAGCATCTCGGCTCTACAGAGGCAGGAGGAGTCTAACACCACAGCCGACCTTGTGGAAATCTTAAAGGAGTCGCCCCATTATTATTAAACCTGGGAAATAACCGTATTTTTATATTTTTGGATCATTGCACTTTGCTCAAAGGCTTTATGTGAATAAAAGAAAGCTTATCTGGTGCCCTTAGAGTATAATCTGACATTGAAAGGAAGAAAGTAGCTTGAGTTAACGCCATTTTTTATAAAGTTCAGGTTCATTTGTATTATCTAACAAATGGCCGGGATGTTAGAAAGCCCACACATTTATATCATAAGTTTGTTTGTTGATGTTATGTTATAAGTGTCTTTCCTTTAATGCTCCCGGTTAATTGAGCTGACGTAATTTTTTTAAGTTATATTTTTCATTAGTTTTACCAAAATAACTTGATTTAATTGTATTTAAAATAACATTTCCAAAGAAATAAATCCTTCGAATCTGCCTGTTCAGTTTCTGTTAGAATGTGAAGGGTTAAATGAAAGAAGCTCGTCTCTGCGAGTCACTGTGAAGATAGAAGCTGATTGGTGGTCCTGCTGTACATGCACAGAGGGCCAACTCAACGAGAGAGTAATGTCAACTGACAGTACAATTGACCAATCATATCTTCCCTCTAAATGGGTGGGCTTTATTTTCGCGGACTTTATGACAAATTCCGCCCGCTGTGAGGTTTATGCATGTGTGCAGTGGCGCGTCCTAAAACCCAGAAGTAAGCCGCGCACGGGTTCCCTCGACAAAAAAGCAATGGGATTTCTCCATAGGGTTTTGGAAAATAGCTCGAAATAAGGTCAGTGGAAAACTAACCTATTAGATAAATGCACGCTTTGTTCAGCCGGATAATATCCACATGTCTACCCTACTTTTAAATATTTCGAATCATAAATCTAATTGATAGATTTATGACTAGCATAAGTTCGTTCATGATGGCTCATGTCAGTGATAGTGATTACATCGTTGTGAAATTATTAACCGAGTCATTTTCAAGATTGAGTTACAATGACAAATTGGAGTGGCAAAGGATCAGCTGCATGACCCACCATCAAGTGCTTCATCCAAAAGGACAGGAGGAGGATGGACTTTGTGTTGAAGTGATTTGATCATCAAAGGTAGGCCTAAGTCATTTTCAATGTGGGCCGCCGTGCCGACTTAATTCATTTGTAATTGTTACTTGGCTGNCATGAGAGGGGCACAATAAAAGCGGGTTAAGGCGAGACACGGCAGGCAAAAACATCGTTTTTCAAGCAATGGTCAATTTTGAGATTTTGTGCTATTTCAAAATAGCACAAAATCTCAAAATTGACCATTGCTTGAAAAACGATGTTTTTGCCTGCCGTGTCTCGCCTTAACCCGCTTTTATTGTGCCCCTCTCATGAAATAACTGGCCCCACCAGTAAAATTGGTCTAGAACCACCCCTGCCTGAATGGCCACAATACTGCCTGTAACTTTGATTAAAAGATGGATAAAGCATATCAATGTCCCCCCTCACTGGCTAGGGCTGTAATGTTATGATGTTCCACAGTAACCTGCATAACCAGGCCACAGAGACGTACATGGACAATCTGATCCGCCGCTTGCAGATGTATTCAAGGACTCTGGAGAATCTGGTGGAGGAGAGAACGTCTCTGTACAAAGCTGAGAGGGACCGAGCGGATCGCCTCAACTTTATGCTACTTCCTGGGTAGGTTTGGAGCGAATCTGATGATATTTTGTAGGGGATGTCATCTTTCGTTTAGGAAAGGTTGTTTATTGCCATTTTAAAGCTGCACTCACACTGTACATGTTATATTTATTTTGTATTTAATATTCCATTCCCTTCACTCTTAATGTAAATAATATCCTGCTTTCTATTGTGTGTAAAGCCCTTCAATAGTGTTTTATTGTCAGAGTTTATATATTTTGTATCTTCACGACCTACTGTATATTTTCTACTTTTTAATGCTGCTTTAATTCTATTTTGAGATTTTTATGCTGCTGCAACGCAAACATTTCCCAAATTGGGATCAATAAAGTACTTCTTATCTTGTCTTTTGTTTAAGGATGACATATTTAAGGGTTGTATTTGATTTTATGTTGATGCTGTATTTGCATTAAAATGTCTATGTCATATTCCCTGAACTGTATTATTATTATTATTATTAATTTATTTATTTTAAAGATCTTTTGGGCCAGATCAGCCTTTATTGGAGATTACAGTGTTGAATTGAACTGTATTATTGTACCCTGTGTCTCCCCTCAGCCCAGTGGTGCGTTCACTGAAGGAAACGGGCCGAGTGGAGCCTGAACTGTTCGAGGAGGTGACCATCTACTTCAGCGACATAGTGGGATTCACCACGCTGTGCCACTACAGCACCCCCATGGAGGTGGTGGACATGCTCAATGACATCTACAAGAACTTCGACAGCATCCTGGACCACCATGATGTCTACAAGGTTACATACATTTTAACATATTATTTACCAATCAGTGGTAAAAGTCAAACTCAAAAGGGTCTCAGGCAGGATGTTACAGTTGTATTTAATGCTTTTTTATCTTAGAAGGTTGAACTAAGATTTAGTCTTAAAGGTGTCCTATCATGTAAAATGCAATTTTTAATTGTTTTATACATAAATATGTGTCCCCGGTGTCTCAGGGAACTCACAAAGTGTCAGAAAATAAAACCCATTATTTTTTCCTCCGTACCCACATCTCTAAAAACGGGGCTACAACGGAGCTGATCCAGATTTGCGTCCGATATGACGTAATATCGGAAATGTGGGCTTGCTTGCCACGGCCCTATCACAAACGTTGCAATCAGAAACAATGCGCGACATGTTTTGGACGTGATATGGTCTGTGTTTACATTAGCATCGCTAACACTCAGAGCTAACCTGTACTGGAGAGAGCATGTGTAAAAAAGCAGGAAATAAAAAAATAAGGAACTCACCCTGCGAGAGATAAAGCATTTGAGTTCCATACTGTTTCAGAAATAAACGTTGATGTGGTTTGGAACATGATATGGCATTTAATCACGGCAGCATTTAGCTGAGAACCTCGTATAATTCTGAGCAGGCATTAGCTCCCCCTCCTCTTCTTTTTTTTTTTTTAAAGCTAAGGACCCAGATCAGCAGTTCTCTAACAGGGCTGGAATAGAGGGGTATGAGGGATTTCTAAAATGCATGATCTGTTTGGTATTTTGAGCAAAACACATCATAGACATGTTTTTATATATTTGTATCTGAGACCCATAATATATGCCTAAAAACAGCATAATAGGAGACCTTTAAAGGATACATTTTTTTAAATCTGTTTTCTATCTCTCAGGTTGAGACAATAGGCGATGCATACATGGTTGCATCAGGTTTGCCTAAACGCAACGGGGACCGGCACGCAGTGGACATCGCCCACATGGCCCTGGACATGCTGGCATTTGTCGGGACGTTTGAGTTGCAGCACATGCCCGGCATCCCTCTGTGGATCCGTATCGGTGTGCATTCAGGTAATTTATCTATTTCTCATTTCCACCCACACATTCCCCAATGTTTCTTTACCTTTTTTAAATGTAAGAGGGTTTAGGTTACCCTTGGCCTTTTTGTTTATGTCTACGATGCTGTCGACTGGCAGCTTTAGACTATTCTAATTGTAATACCCAGCTTTTTTTCTTTTTTTCCCTCTTGTACGCCATGTAAAGGTTTTGGGTACCTACTTACTGTATATTGTGTATGTCTTTGCTTTATTGCAACAAAATAAAATATTTAAAAAATAAATAAATGTAAATGCACAGTTACATACAAAGATCTAACACATCTTTCAGAAATCATAGATTATGTGTCAAAAATAAAAGTTATAGTATATGTTAGAGTAATAAAAACAACATGTGGCAATAACACACTTGTACACTGCCAACTATTTACTAAAGTCCAAACCAGAAGTAAGCTCATGACTTTATATTTCAATTTGCATTTATTTTTCAAACTTACTGACATCTAGTGGTTGAACAGTATAAGTGATTAGCCAAAGATAAATCCGACACCATCTGTCACAGTTTGGTTACATTTTTACCACTGATACTGATGCTTGTTCGTGTGTTTTGTTTGTAGGACCGTGTGCAGCAGGAGTGGTGGGGAACAAGATGCCTCGCTACTGTCTTTTCGGAGATACAGTTAACACAGCGTCACGCATGGAGTCCACAGGCCTGCGTAAGAATCAACACTCACTCACTCACACACACACACTCACACACACACACACACCCTTTTCTTCGTGATATTGTGGAAGGACCCCGCACTGTGACTGTGCTAACAAGATGCGAGCCCCACAACGTGATAAAGACAACCCCCTACACACACACATTTAACAGTCACATTATGGTTGTTTTATGGACCGGTAAGAGATCTTGAGCGTTTGAACTCATGATTCTTCTTCTTTCAGCTCTGGAGAATCCATTCAGCCAGTCCACCATTCAACATCCCTGCAGAGACAAGACTGTAATATTTGAGTATGAAACAAAAGAGCGAGACGTACCTGAAGGTTACGCAGGTTTTCTTTTATTCTTGAATTCAGCTGTTTGGTTATCTAGTGTAAACTTGTAAATATATTGTTGTACTACTTATGTCCTGTGGTCAATATGTGACTGGCCATACAGGTAAAGGCAAAGAGATGACCTACTGGTTAACAGGGAGTGAACGGGGGAAAATACAACCTGCGCAACACGCCAACCCGCGTGGAGTAAAATGCTGTCTAATCTCTATATTTGTGAAACCGCTGACACTGAATTATCTACTAATGACGGAAAAGACTACAGCCACACTTTGCCCCAAAAGCCCGACTATTCTCCTTCCAGCTCACTGTTGATATAAACGAGCTAGATAAACAAACACTGAGTTTAGAGTCGATGGTTGGGACTTAATGGAACTCGTAACCAGAAGTATCAGGTATACAAACCATTAATTCAAACAATTCATTTTTATTCAAATGGTGCAGTTTTCCCCAATTAATCTGGTAATTTTCCCAAATGAAGAATCAATTTACAAATGCTTTAACTAAGCTGAACGGACAAACTGTATTTGATTTGGCTAATCATTAATATCATTATTATTGTTTCTAAATGCTTTCCTTACTAATTCTTCTTAATGTTTTATTATTGTTTGTGGTGTTTTTTTTTATTTTTTATGGTCACCACACCGCGGCCGTATTTAAGCAATGCGTTATTTTCTCTTATTAATGTCCTTATTTCCATGCCTGTTTACTCTGGCATAATTGGAGTTGCATTGGAAAAACTCTTGACCTCTCTGCTAAGTATAAAAGGTACTCAATAAATACATTGATAAGATACTGTAATAATTATTTAACCCTACACAAACAAGTTCATACCATTAGGGTGGGTAACTAATCAAATGAAATACTATACATTGTTGATTAAGATAATAATACTTTTGTTTAAACTAGAGCTAATTACAGCATAATATAGTAAATTATTAGTCAGAGTCTTGTTATTATTATTTAAATGATTCATTATCAATATAAATAATTATGATTATGTTATATAAATACCAAAAATCATATTTAATGGGATGTATTACCACACGCCAATGTAAAACTTTATGTAGTTCAAGCAGAAATAACGAATCATATAGGAAATAACAACTCTAATCTAAAATACCAAAAAACAAATAAAAAAAGTAGTGCAGAAAGCTCGATATACATTTGCATCTAAAATAACAAAATAATCTTACTTCACTTGTGCATCAGGGGAGAACTGTCCAGCGGCTCCAGCAGGACCTGGCGGAGATGATCCGTTGTCCAGTGTTGGAGTAACCGTGGCCCTTGGGAACGAGTGGCTTCAAAGCTTCAAGAACAGGAAGACCCTCTCACCAAAATCAAACGGAGGGAAACCAACGGCAGCCCTGCGAGAGGGGAACAGCTTGCCAGAGTTAGTACTTAATCCACTGGCTGTCACCGACAACCCGTAGACCTACCTGTGAGGAGAGGAGCTCTTCCGTACAAAAACGGTCAAGAAACGGGGCTTTGTAGAAAAGTCTGACATTGAGCGCCTGCTGGGGTTTCTTGGAGTTACAGTCCAGCAGCGGTGAAAAAATCAGGCATGTTGAAAGTTAGACTTATAGCTGATGATAAAAGTGCTCTAGCTTATAAGATAACTGATTAGTAGTCATGTCTAAAGAAACTGTACTGTAAGATAATCATTAGTAACGGATGTTTATTGTGTGAAGAGCATAGATCACCTTTATTCTATGTGGTCAGACACAGACACAAGTAAAATCCCTTGTATTACTTCTCGGTGGCTATACCTATCATTAAAGCATGTTTGTAGTTGTGGTGAAAGAAGTGCCTATACATAAGCACCCTTCTCTTCTTTTTATGTGGGTCAGACACAGTTTCACCAAATGTAACAGACTGGCGGTTCAATGTAGCCTCACTTCGCGCGCGCAG